TGTACCATTTTACATTCCTACCAGCAATGTTTGAAGTTTCAGTTGCTCCACATCCTTGCCAATGGGTGGCACAGTCTTTTCATTTAATCTATTATAATAATTATGCGGAGGTGTCTCATTGCAGTTTTAATTTGCACTTCTCTAAAGACTAATGACGTCAAACATGTTTTCATGTGCTTCTTTGCCATCTTTATATCTTTTTGTGTAGTGTCTGTTTAAATATATATTTTTTTATAGTTGGGTTGTTTTGCTTACTATATTGAGTTTATAGGATTCTCTATATATTCTGGACATAGGTCCTTTTTTAGATATATGTTTTGCAAATATTTTCTCCCAATTTGTGTCTTGTCTCTTTATTCTTTTAACAGTGACTTTCAAAGACCAAAAGCTTGTTTTGATGAAGTCCAATTTGTCAACTTTTTTTTTTCTTTTTTAATGGAATGTGCTTCTGGTGTGGTATCTAAGCAATGTTTGCCTATCCCAAGGTCACAAAGAGTTTCTCCTATGTCTTCTTCTACAAGTTGTATTATTTTAGGTTTTATATTATGACCCATTTCAGCTAATTTTTATATCGGGTACCAGGTGTAGATTGCAGTTCATTTTTCTTGCATATGAATATCCAACTGTTCTAGCACCATTCGTTGAAAAGACTATCTTTTTCTCTACTAAATATTCTTTGGTCCTTTGTCAAGAATGAGTTGTCCATATATATATTTGATGATTTCTGGACTCTCTTGGCTTTCACCATCTGTTTACCAGTCTTTTTGCCATTGCCACACTGCCTTGATTACTGTAGCTCCCTTGCTTTTTAAAAATTTAATCATTTATCAAAGTAATTCATGTATATAATAGTTTAAGAACTCAAGAAGTCCTTGACTTGATTCTCTCTTGAATTTTTAATTTATATTTTTATTTTTTGTTTCCAAGAGTTCTTTTTTTTTTTTTAAATAGCCTGTAAATGTTCCTATTTTAGGATTGCAATATCTTATCTCCCTGAGAGTAGTGTTGGTTTTGTTTTATTTAGTTTGGAAGTTTTTTTCTCTCTGCATTATCACAGACTTCCCTTTTTCCCCCTTCTTGTTTCTCTGTGCCTCTTGTTAGAGGCTTTCTTTAAATGGCTGGAGATTCAGGCCATGCATTCCTATTTAAGAGTGGGACAATAAAAAGCTGATTAAATGCTCTATGTATGAAGGTGGAAGAGACTTGTTGGCTGGTGGGTTGCCCTGTAGTCTAGGATGAGCTGGCAGGAACAGGACCATTTTGTCGGGGGGATCCCCAAATGTCAGGATTGCAGGTCTCGTGGGCTGTGCTGTTTAATTTCTCCACAGGGAAGGGCTGATAGGAACTTGGCCTTTTCCTCACTCTCTTAGGCTGCCTGCCCCATGGAAGGGTGGGAGCACAGGCCATCTGTCACTGTCCTGGGTACCAAGTGAGCAAGGGAGCCTCCATGAAATCTAGCCCTCGTCTGACCCTCACCCCAGCTGTGACCTGGTGGCCCTTTCAGAGCCCTCCAGTTTATTTTTTGTAGAGAGCAAGCCTGTCTCTTGCAGAATCGGGGAGACCCTGTTTGCCGGGGCTCAGGGAAAGGGCCTGGGATCTGAATGCCTCTTCTATAGACTTTCAACCCATCTTGTTTTCAGCTTCATCTTGAGAAGTGTGTGGTGCCTCCAATTCCTGAGTCTTTCCCGGGTTCTGAGGCACAAATAGAATCACTTTTGTTGGTTTCCTCTGATAGGTGCTTGGTTTCAGCTCACTCCACTCTGCTAAGTCTGTTTCCATGCTGCCATCCACTTTCTATTTTTGTCTGCTCTGTTCTCCTACTCATTGTCTTCGGCAGGACAGAGATAAACGCATCCATTCAGTCTGTTTTATTTGACCAAAGAAGGTTTCTTACCCCCCACCCCCCTCCTTCCACCGCCCCCTCCTTCTCCACCATCTTTGTTTTGCCCTCTCTCCCGCCTCCCTTCTCCCTTTCCTTCATACCCCTCCCCTTTCTATTTTTGTCTGCTCTGTTCTCCTACTCATTGTCTTCGGCAGGACAGAGATAAACGCATCCATTCAGTCTGTTTTATTTGACCAAAGAAGGTTTCTTACCCCCCACCCCCCTCCTTCCACCGCCCCCTCCTTCTCCACCATCTCTGTTTTGCCCTCTCTCCCGCCTCCCTTCTCCCTTCCCTTCATACCCCTCCCCTTTACTACCCCTCCTCCGATTTTCTCCTTCTTCCTTCTTCTTTGCCTGGAGCTTTCTGTGCCATAGTTGTTTCAGCAGGCAGCCAAGTTCTTCAGGCCCTGAGAGGAAACAGCCCACGCAATATAGAAAGAATTGGATGAGGAATCAGGCAACTGAAGTTCTCTATCTACAGATGTGATAAACCTTCTGTCCTCCCCGTACCCCCGACTCTCCTTCCCATCTCCAAACCCGTGATGACCACATCACAACCACAGCACAGCCCCACCTCGTGCCTCACCTGCTTCGGTTCGTGTCCCACTGGCTGCCCCATCGCTTTCTGCTCTATGCCATTTTTTCTCGTTGTAGGTTCCTGAGTAGCTGTGGGGCCCTGGGTCCACTATGGATCCCTGGCAAGTGAGGTGCCCAGTTCAGGTGTCCTGGTTCTGAGGGTTTGGCATGTTAGGGCTGTATATAAGTGTCCCTCCTCATTAGGAGTGCCCAGAGTCTCCTGCGCACACACAGCATCCTGTCCCATCTACCATCCCTTCCTAAAGGCTCAAGGCCCAGGTATAGGGCTGATAGGAACTTGGCCTTTCCCTCACTCTCTTAGGCTGCCTGCCCCATGGAAGCTGTGATCCTTCTCCGATGTTGTCCATCACCATCCCTCCTCCTGCTGTGTATTATTATTTTTTAAGCAAGAGGGCACCCACTTCCGTCAGCCAGGCGAGGACGGGTGGCTCTGTCCACAGCCCCATTCCTCCCTCGCTGCTGGCCTGAGCCTTTCTCCTGGGCCTCCCCCTGCAGAGGTAGCTACAGATGTCCAGCTGGCCCTTTGTTGGGGCTTTTGTCAGTCACTGAAGAGCAAATGTGGCCACTTCCCTGATCTCTGGGCCCTCAGTGGCTTTGCAAGAGAATGGGAACAGCTGAATAATTGTCATTGCCCACTCACCACTTCCCACTCTCCCTTTCTCTCCTCCTCGGCCCCACTCTCACACCATTTATCCAAAGCTGGGTTTGGAGAGTGCTAATTGTCATGTGGAATAATAATATTGGTTGGCATTTCACAAAACACTTTTAATTGAATACCAAGCTGCAGAAGGTCAGGGGGATGGGAGAATGTTCCCATTTTACAGGTGAAGTAACTGAGGGTCCCAGAGACCTCCTGACTCACCCGGTGTCTCACAGCCAGGAGTCTAGAACCCGATTTTGACCCAGGTCCCCTGACTCCGTATCTGGCAGTCTTCCTTCTATACCTCAGGGTGAGTCCAAGGCTGTCCTCTGCCTTCTGCCTGGTAATCACTGTTTTTGGCTGCAGGGGTTCTTTTGTCTGAGGCCCTGTGTGAGAGAGGTAATTACATCCTTTGAGATGCCCTAAGTCAGCAGCTCTCTGTCTTCCCTGTGACCAAGCCCAGCTCTGGCCTTTGTCTGTCCTTCCTCATCCCCAGGCCTGTGGCCTGGAGAGTTTGATTGGATAACTCCATTTCTCTCTCTTTGGTGCTTCCTATTGCATCTGGCTAGCCCCTTCCTCACAGAGTGTCCCTAAATCCTGTTTATTCAGGCAAACGGGTACCCTCAGTCCTATGGAGGCAGAGAGAGGGAACTCGCAAACACCTCTCCACCAGCTCTGCCCAACTGTTAGAAAAATCATGCCCACTACTCTGTCCCTACGGCCGCACATAGTAGGCTCTTATAAAATACTTGTTAATATTTTATGTGTGAATAGAATCTCCTCACTTGTCTGATACTGGTTGTCATCTGAAATCTCACATCCCTTCAAGAGCCTCCCAGCTCCCCACCTTACTCATGGCTGACAGTGCTTCTACCACTTCTGCGCTTCCCAGTTACGTCTGTAGCACTGCTACAAATTGCTTGCCTGCATATCACCTGGAGGTTTTATAAAGAGGAAGATTCTGATTTAGTAGGTTGGGGTAGGCCCTGCCTTTTCAACAAGCTTCCATGGATCCACGTTGCTGGTCCAGGAACTACAGAATATGTGGTTTGCAAAGGGACAGGGCACTGCCATTGGGTGTGTTCGGCCCAGCCAGGCTGAGGACAGTTGTAGAACTAAGCGTGGTGTGGAGCCGCAGACTCCGCTCCTGCTCAGCCCGTGCATGACCCTGTGGGCCTTAGCTCCGAGCTAGAAGAGAGCCGAGGATGGGTGACGCCTGTGTCAACCTGCAAAAAACCTTCGAATCGAAAGAGACTCCGGACAAGTCTGCGGTGTAGGCTCTTACAGTTTAAAAGCCCCTTAAATGTCCTCCTCTCCCTCCCTGCCTCATCACAAATACCACTTAAAAAAGACAGTTTTTTTCTCTTTGTTTTCTAAGGTGTAAGGGAGGGACTAGGTGAGTGTCGAAAAACATTAGGGGCGGCCTGTGTGCTTTGTCACCTCAGTATGTGGTCCTCATATTCTTACCAAAAGAATTCATTTTCTTACTCAGCCTTTCCCCCGACTGCTCACCTTTGCCTGGCTCTGGACCTTTTCAGAGCACCATTCAACTGCCATCCCTTCATATGGGAGGCAGGGGGGAGCTTGGGGAGTGCGGAGAACTTACCTCAGGGACTCATGGTTTCAAGGCCTCCTCCGCCAGCCTGGGGAGGCCTCGGCCTTCCTTGGTGGGCCTGTGTTCTTCTCCTGGGATCCCTTCCAGCACTAACAGTTAGCGGTTCTCTGATCTCTGCGCCCTCTGAGTCTGAAAGAAAGGAGGGGAGGGGAGAGCTTTCTGTGCCTCTGCCAGCAAACTCACCGGGAGCTGCAGCAGGCAGGACTTTGAAGAAGGCAGGCCAAGTCCACTTCATGGTCTCTTTTTGCCCCTCCCTGTCCTGGCAGGTCCCTGGATGGCCGACTGCAGGTGTCCCATAGGAAGGGGCTCCCCCACGTCATCTACTGCCGCTTGTGGCGGTGGCCTGACCTGCACAGCCACCATGAGCTGCGGGCTATGGAGCTGTGTGAGTTCGCCTTCAACATGAAGAAGGACGAGGTCTGCGTGAATCCCTACCACTATCAGAGGGTAGAGACCCCAGGTATGCTCCCCTCCTCTCGATGGGGCCTGCAGCTGCCACATATCACCGCCTCCCCCACCCGCTCTTTCTCTCCCTTCCCTCCTCCTCCCGCCCCTCCTGAGGGAGGGTCTGTAGTGTGTTTGAGGGTACAGGGGCTTTGGTGCCAGCCTGGCATCGGTGCCAACACTCCTCTGCTCTGTCTCTGGGCAGTTCTACCTCCTGTGTTGGTGCCGCGCCACACGGAGATCCCGGCCGAGTTCCCCCCACTGGACGACTACAGCCATTCCATCCCCGAGAACACTAACTTCCCTGCGGGCATTGAGCCTCAGAGCAATATTCCAGGTAGGTACCTGGCAGTGCAGGGGGCCTGGGGACATGGCCCACTGCCCCGCTCTTGCCCCCACCCCCAGCAACCCTCTCTGCACACAGGGCTGGCCCCTGACTCAGAACCCCCTCCGTGTTGGGAGAGGACCCGTGGCCTTGGCTCCCTGCTCACTAACGATGCTTTTCTTGGCACGGAGAAGTGGCAGTGTGACCCTTCCGTCTGGCCTCGGTGTAGTCATTTATTTTGGAAGCGGAAATAGTGACGCTGTGTTCCTCTCACCGCCCTCGAGGCTGGGGCTGGAGTTCAGGCAGAACCCCTGATGGTCTGGGGGCTGCAGAGGCAGTGGGTGCACCGCTGGCCAGGCAGCGAGCAGAGAGCTGGCCTGTCAGTCAGCCTGCTGAATGGTTACAGCCTGGGTGGGGGTTGAGGCCCAATTTGAGTTTTGGCTCCACAGGGAGAAGTGGGCTCCACTGTCAAAGAGTGCAGATGTTTTTAGAAGCCCTTCATTTACATGCAAATAATGTGTGAATCGGCAGCACTCTTGAAGTCCTGGAAAACAGCTTGGCGGCGTTGTGCTAGTCATGGTGCAGGGACCGTGGCTGCTGGGCGGTAACCTTGCCGCGTCCCTTTCAGAGCATTCTGATTCGGATGAGCCTTCATCCTGAGTGAGTGTATTGTGTTGAGGGTGACCACAGGCCTGTGTGCATGGATCACTGCATTAAGGAGAGACCCACTTTACAGATCCAGCCTTTTCAGACCCTGTCCAGGTAGCGCTGGTCTCCAGGGGGCAGGCCACCTACTTTGTTCATTCAGCAAATTTTAGAGAGCTAAGTCGGTCTGGACGGTAGATTCAAAGAAATAGATCACAGTCTCTGCTGTCACTGAATGTGCAGCCCACTTGGGAGGCTAGGACATCCCCTAAGGAGATGACAAATAACAAGGCGCTTGCACAGGAGTAGATGACAGAGCCACAGTGGGGTTTGAAGCAGCTGCCCTTCAGAGAACAGAGATGGGTAAGGCTGAGGCAAGTCCACAGCTTCCCCTGGAGAGGTGGGCTTAAACCCGATGTTGAAGGATGGGGAGAAGTTAGCCTGGCAGAGGCTGTAGGAACAGGCGTGTCAGACTTATGAACAAAGGCAGTAATGATGAGGTGGGGAGCCCTGAGGTCAAGGGCATGAGGACAGCAGGATCCAGGGGCCGTGCCCTCGAGTCAAGGCCCAGAGCTCCTCCAGCACCTGCTACAGGCATCGTGGTGTGAATGTGTGACAGAGTTTGCTAAAGGTCTCTCAAGAGCCAAGCTATGGAGGCCATTTAATGAACTGCTTTCTTTCTGATTCCCAGAAACCCCACCCCCTGGCTACCTGAGTGAAGATGGAGAGACCAGTGACCACCAGATGAACCACAGCATGGACGCAGGTCAGAGCCTTGGAGGGACGTGCCCTTAATCCTGAGTGCCTTCCCTTCCTCCCTCTCTCTTCACCTCCTCCTTCTGTTGCTCTGTTCAGTATTTATAGAGCAACCACTCTATGCCAGGCACTGTGCCAGCCGCTAGGGATAGAGGAGGAGCCTGAGCTGCTCACAGCTTGTGGGGGAGACCGACAAAACAAGTGTCAGTTATGTGCCATCTTATATATGCCCTGTTGGAAGACGCCACATGGTATCAGGAGCACAGAGTAGGGCCACTTATACCTAGCCTGGGGAGGAGGTATTGAGGGTGCAACAGTACCTTGTAGTGGAGGTTTTTCTTGAGTTGAATCTTAGTGATGTGTAGGTGTTCACCAAGCCATCAGGGCAGGCAAGAGGGTATGCCAGTCAGAGTCGATGGAAAAAGGGCAGGAGAGCCTGGTGCATTCTGGGGATGGTAAGCACTCAGTGTGACCAGAGCCTCCTCCTCTAGAGGTGGGGAGAGACAGGAGGGCATGCCACTCAAGCCTTCAAGTGTGGCAGGGGACTGATGGGGAGCCACTGAAGGCTTTCAGTGAATCTGTGCCTCAGTGAGATGTTGCTGGCTGTAGGCTGGGGCATGGGCTTGATCACCAGAAACAGTTTCTTAGAGCCTGAATGAAGGCAAGGTCTGTGCCGATGGCCAGTGGAGCCCCCTGAAGCATCTATTTTTGTGTGGTGACCAAATGTGATCTGTGTGTTCCTACTGTGAGGGACCCAGCCCAGTTGTCTTCAACCACATCTCCAGATGTTCCTGCATCATTTATTATGAGGCCAAATTGGCTCCAGACCAGTGGCTTCTAGAATTGAACCCCAGCTGCCACATGGAATGTGCACTGCGTTGTGTGCGGTTGGGTGAGGAGGAGGAGGGAGCCAAGCAGATGTCCTGCTCTGATGATGGTGGGCATGCATCATGCCCACAGGACCGCCAGACACAGCAGAACCAACTGCCTTGCACACAGCCCAAAAGAGACAAAAGACACTCACATGTTCATTGTAAATGTAGCTGCTTGGTACCTAGCCTGGGCAAGGTGGTACTTTGGGGTTTAGCCTCCCCCAACACCCCACCCCCCTCCCATGAGTGGCTGACAGTGGGAATACACTGAAGACCTTCCTGTATTCGATGCCAAGTGGCCGTGGCGAGCTCGCAGCTATTAAACGCTGGCATGGGATGCAGGCCAGCTAAGCAGCATCTCTCCAGATGCTGTATTTCTTCTCACTGTCTGTTCTTTCTTTCCTCCTTGCTGCTCTTCATGGTTGTGGAATGATTATGGTTATAAGAGAAAACAGACCAAAGAGGAAGGTTCTGTGTAGGGGCCAAGCCGCTGCCTTTTTCGCCCCCTCAGGTCTCAGTTCTTCCCCTTCCTCCTGTTTCTTTCTGCGCCATTTTCTCTGTCCCTCTCTATTCTTCTTCTCCTCCCATGAGTGAACTTGCAGGGCCCTCTTGGGAACGTGAGTGATTTATTGAAAGTGGACGCTGGACTTTGTGGGCTGCGGCCAGCCCATTGGTGGCTGAGTTGGTGAGGGTCTCCTATTTTTTCTGTTCTTCACTCAAAGTCATCTGTTTGGAAACCAGTCCAGTTGCTCATGGACAGCTGAAATGTGGCGGCGTCCCAGCTGGAGCCTGAAGGTCACTACCCAGCCAGCCCTGTGTCTCCCCTAACTTGCATACACATGCCTGTTCAGATCAGTGAGAAGGGTCCCACAGCTTTCCTGGGTCTTCATGAGCCACCACAGAATAGGAAATCAAATTTATCGAGTGTCTACTATGTACCAGTCTTGGTGTGGGCATTTTTATATGCATGTTCTCACTTCATTTCCATAAGTCACATAATAGATGGTATTATCCCCATTTTACGCCTGAGGGAAAAAGTCAAAGCTTAAAGAGGTTAAACCTCTTTGCCAAAGTCCACATGTCCAGACCCCGTGCTGATTTGGAAGCTCTGCTTCTTCTGAAACTCTTCTACACCCCTTGATGTATTGGGTGCTGGGGGAGGAAAAGAAGCCCATGGTGGCAGCAGGAACAGAACCCCCCACTAACAGCTGAGGGAGGCGTATACAGGAGGCCCAGCCCCTAGAACTGGTAGATTTCAGGGTGGGGCCAACCCCACAGGGTCGTTAATAAATAAATAACTTTCGTAGCCCCATGGGTACAGGGATAAAGGAGGGACATGCCCAGTGTTGCTCTGTGAAAGGCAGCCACTTGATTTTTTGGAAGGTCGATGCCATGTGGGCTTTAAAAAAACAACAACAACAACAAACTGCTGGGGGTGAGGGGTGGACAGACGGTAATAGAGGAGGAAGAATTGAGTAGGTTTGGACTTTTCCCCATGTGCAGCGTTATGTCTTACATAAAAGTCAGTCTGGTTGCTGAGTCGTGGGATTTCTAAGGCAGCTTGGTGAGTTTCCTGAGACCTGGGGAAAGGGTTAGATTGGTATTTCCAGGTGCATGAGCTGTTGGGAGAACTGACTGGTGATGTCTGGGTAGCTCTCGCCCCACCTGTGTGAGAGGTTACTGCCCGAGTCTTTGAGAAGCTGGTGGTGGGGGCGGGGGGGGGGCGGTTCCTTGTCTCTCTTGTTTTCCTGTGGGCATAGTTAACAGGGAGGGTCATTGTGGTGTAGGGTATTGTACCCTAGTTGGGAACACAGTAGCCCTGCACTGTGGGTCCTGGTGAAGAGCATCAAACCATCGAGTTGTGGCAGAGACCTTGAGATCAACCCACTCGTCCATTCATTTCACAGATGAAGAACCTGGACCCCAGGGAGGGAGAGTGTGGGCAAGGATATGGAGCTAGGCCTTGTCCTGGGTCTTAGAGGCTCAGCCCAGGTTTTCTTCCTGCTGTGTTGAGCTGCCCCACCTGGATTTAAGTATTTAGTAATTGGGCTCTCCTGCCAAGATTCTCTTATGAAGTCTCATACCTGTGTCTCACCTTGCAGGTTCTCCAAACCTATCCCCGAATCCGATGTCCCCAGCACACAGTAACTTAGGTAAGTGTCTCCTCAGTCTGAATGACTGGAACCCCCTCTGGCTGCAGCTCTGTCCCAGTGTGGGGAGAGGGTCCTGAAGGTGAGGCTCCACCCCCAAAGCCCCACCACTGGCCAGCTCAGCCCATCCCATCAGGTTTCTGGTTACAGGGATTCTGGGGTCACCCACAGAACTGGAAACCTGAGAACAGTGCTGGCAGGAAAGGCAACCATGTGCCAGGTTTGTGTTTCCCTGGGTGGTGGTTAGATGTGAGTGAGTGAAAGTCTCCCGAACTTTGTGCTCGGGAGACAAGGGTCTGTGGTCAGCCAAGCCTACGTGTGTGGTTGGTTGCAAACCCACGGTCATCAGTGCAGACTCCAGCCCTTGACTTTTGTAGACTTGTTTCAGATACACTTATTTAGATTTTATCTGAGCATTTCATCTTACAATGATGTAGTTTTTATTTAAAATGGCAACATATAAAGATTTTGAAAACAAAAGCAAAATTTCCCACAGTCTCTTTACCCAAACACACTGTTATTGTTTTATCACCGTCTTGATTTTTGTGGATCAGGCATGTAGAGTAGTGCCTCACCATTGAGATCATAGTGCATATCCATTTCTCCGTTCTTTCTTCTCTTTATATTATTTTGTAAACACATTTTCATATTTTGATACTTTGTTTATCATTTTGCATTATCTCATGATGTTTTGGAACAGCGAGGCCATCATTTCCACGACCTTCCCTCCGTTGGACTTCTGGGTCAGTTTTTCTGAGATTTGTTTTTTACTCCAGAGCAACCTTCAGCTCTGATGTGGTGGACCTGCAGAAGGTCTCAGAACAAATGAAATATCCATTCCGTTTTTATTGAGGGGAATTTATGTTCTGGTCTGGTAGTTTTAGAAAATTATGAGCTTGGCTTTGTTTCAGCCTTTATTACTGTGTCTTAATGTGCGGCTCAGGAGATGAAATAGTTAATATCCAAGCTTGGTGAATCAGAAGGGATTGGCCTGGCTTTTGTTCCCAGTTGTTTCCAGTCCTTGACTGATAGCATCAGATGAGGAAAGTCATCCTTTGGAACATTGGGAGATGCTCGAAAACCTTTTAATGCAGGCTGACAAGTGGGCAGTGTGAAATGTGACTTTGGGGGATCTGTTTTAACATCTTTGTAAAATAATATCAGTGTGAGTGTTGGGCTTTGCTGAGGGAAGGTCAAATTCCTGATGTGAAAGGACTGATTGAGTTATTAAAAACAAACTCTGAAGGCTGGAAGCTATGTTAACACTTGAGAAACTAAAGGCCATGACTGTGAACTTGACTCTGGGCTTTTGGCTTTTGAGGTTGGCCAGCTTGGATTTAATTTTACCCCACCAATTTACCCCACCACGTCCACAGCAACACTTTCCGTTGATAGGCTTTGGAGTAGGCACTCGCCTTTGAAACCCTGCTGCCTCACTCTGGTCAGACTGGCAGTTGCCCCAGGAGCTAGCTTACTGTGAATTCCCCTCTGGATCCTGGGGACCAGGATGGTTCTTGAACTGAGACCCTAGGCACAGTGCCCTGTTGGCACAGTTCTTCCTCCCTGCTGCCGTGATTCTCATGCCCCTTGTCTGAGGTCAAGAATTCTTAGGTCATTTATTCCAAAGGAAGGTATAGGCCATGAGCCCGGCAGGCAGAGAGTGGGTGCCACTCTTCTGGGAAGATCTAAATGGGGGAACGAGTCAGCTGACGAGTCAGGGTAAGGACTCATGTTGAGACACAGGGGCTGACAGGCCCAGCTTCCTCTCTGCTTGATAAGCCCTCACGCCCCGACCTTTACCTATTCAGACCTATTGGTTTCATCCTGCCCATAAAATCTCAGACTCCTGGCCTCGTAGCTGGAAGGGGAGGAGAGGATGGTGATGACGATGGCCATCATTTCTTGAGAACTTACTATGGACTGAGTGTTGTGCAGAGCGCTTCATGCCAATCTTCATAACAACTGTACAGGATAGTGGTGTTGCAAGTTTTCATTTTACAGATTAGGAAACCAAGGGGGCACACTGCCTAACTAACTTTGCCCAGGTCATGCAGCTAGCAAATGGAGAAGCTGGCTTTGAACTCAAACCTTCGGGATCCAGAGAATGTGCTCCTGTCTGCAGGAAGACACTGCCTTGTTGGGCCAATTAGACCAGTTCCCTCCACCCCACTCCCCTCCCTTCACTCAGAAGAACAAGGCTCAAGAAGGGTGTTCAGTAGCTTATAGTTGGAGACAAATGTCAGATTGAGCACCCTGTGTCCCATGTGATCTCTGGGTGGGAGCCCTGCCTGCCTGCCTGTCTCTTCCTTACTCATTCATTCACAAGGCGTTTCCTGCCTGATTGCTGTGTGCCAGTCCAGGTGTGGGGGCAGTTGAGGGGGATTCAAAGGTAACTCACATACTCTGCCATCAAGGTCCTATGGCCTCGTTGGGATAAATAAGGCAGGACTATACATAATTATAAAACAAAAAGTTGGTACAGATGACGTACCCTGAGGGGTCAAAGGAGGTAATGATGGCATTCTCGTGGGGACATGCATCCAGGCTTGCCAGACAGAGTCTCCTATGTATTAATTCATTCAGTCAGCACTGGCTGAGTTCCCAGTATGTACTGATGCTGGGGGTCCAGAGCTGGGGAGGGCACTTAGGATTCACAGTCTGGTGGAGTGGCTGAAGGTGTCTGTTTTCACCCGTGGTGCATTGTGCCAGATGCCAAGGGAGCAAGCACAGAGGCAGGAGGAACCGTATGTGCCAAGGAGGATGGTGCTGGATGGGGTGGGAAGACGTCAGAGTTGTGGTAACATGTGTGAGCTGGATCCCGAAGGATAGGTAGGATACCGTGAGGCAGAGAGGGAGGGCAGGACATTGCACATGGGAAGAATGGCATGAAGGGTCAGGGTGAGCTCTGAGGACAGCTGGCACTGTGGTGGTTGGCATGCTGAGAGGCACAGTCGAGCAGATGAGGCCGAGAGGGCCGCTGGGCCGCTGAGAAAGGAGCCCTGAACGCCGTGCTTATTTAGCCCTGTCTTGCTTACAGAATGAAGTCGTTGGTGAGTTTTTTTTTGTTTGTTTTCTTTTTGTTTTTTTGGAGGGTTATTATCTGATGGCAGCTTTATAAAGATTGATCTGGCCACTGTA